GGCTTTTTAAACCTACTCTGAATGCCAGTCTGGAGTATTCGAGTGGAAATTCATCAGCAGCCGTGGACTAATCGCGTAAGATCTACAGTGGATGCGCTGTCTCATGAAATGTTAGTCGAAATTCTGAAATGCGTTTTTGACTCGAAAACATTACTTAAGTAGGGTTTTAGTAATCCCAAGATATTGCAGTCACGTCAGGGTGTCGGCTTTTGCACGAACTTCTCTCCGGTCGGCTCTGTAAAGTACGGTTACTTAAGTAGCATGAGTTTTCCTCTTTGACTTTCGACGTCCTTGGAAATTTAAATGCATTTTTTAGGAAGTGCGCACAAAGATATCCGTTCTCTAACTCATTTAGTAGCAGGTCGGGTTTTCTTTAAAATTTATACTTGAAGGAAGAATATAATTCGGTTTAAAATTTTTTTTATCAATCCCCAAATAATTTTGAATACGTCCTGACGTTACACCTGCATTCACGGTTTCCAAACTCTAAGCTGTATATTTTCCTTTTAGGGAAAACCATACGCTTCCGTACGTTATTAATAAGATACCATATGGAGTCCATAAAATTTAGCAGTGGATTTGAACCGTATTGTAAAATCTACAAGCAGCAATATAAAATGTAGAACCACGATGTTTTATGAACAGGCATTTTACAGGACGTATAACCGCAATTTGGTTTAAGGCAAACTGGTATTATTTGCGCCAGGCAACGTGGGGAAGTTTAACTATTTGGGAGGAATCTGTACGTTACCAAGTAATCGTTGTAAAGCCCAGGAAGAGGACGCAATCTACGGGTTGAAAACAGCAACTGCCTCAATATACGATTTGCCTGAATCAAAGTTTTTAATCATCGAAAAATTTCAGCAACGTTGCCAACCTCCTGGTCAGCAATAGTGGTGTTGTTAGTGGTGGCGGTGGTAGTAGTAGTAGTAGTAGTAGTATGTTATTACCGACAAAGACAAAGGAGACTGGGATGGCCATTTCTGGCTTATTAGTCGTCGTCGGCCAGCCATACCCAACCCCGAAGTGTGCAACACCCGAGGCTCGAACTCGCGACCTGTCAGTTAGAAGTCCACGCCTCTAACCACTGGGCCACAAGCCCGTTGCCCTGTCGCTTTTGATCGGGAATATACAATGGTAGGGGGTGCCCACCGATCGCGTATATCATGCGTCGCTGTGCGGCTGCTGGTTTGGCTCGAGAGAGAGAGCCCGTAAGGCACAACGGAAGGAGTGAGTTTCGTAAGAACGATCGGTGAGCTTCCCCTACCACAGTAGTAGTAGTAGTAGTAGTAGTAGTAGTAGTAGTGGTGGGGGTGGTAGTAGTAGTAATATTTACTTTCGCACAAGAGAAGGCATTATGTATCACGCCGTGGAACTGGCGATGAAGTGTCGACATTTTTAAAGGCGGAAGTGCCTACCGCGGTGCAGGTAAAAGTTGTCATATCGGGAATGTTGAG